CGTTTCTGGAGATGTAGTGATTCATAAGAATGGTTCTTACTCTTGCTGGGTAATAAACCCCTGTATGTGATGAAAGCTATGCATCCTCTCTCCAGAGAAAAACTGACATTTATACATGAATACTTAATTTTATATATAGTTCCATCCTGGTTTAAGAACACTAGATTTATAAAATAATCTTCTGTAAGTAGATTTATGATTTAAATTATTATTATGAAACATTTAGTAAGAGTTTATATTTGCAAATCTTTGAATTGAGCATTCCATAAACTAGATTAAACAGTACAAAGTGCCTGTCTTCTAGCTACCTATAATGCAACACAATGTTTGTATAGCCATATAAAGGACATATATGTGTCAAAAAAAAAAAAAAAAGGCATACATCTTGATAGGAAAAGGTAAGAACATCTTGAGACATGCTAAGCAATGGCGGAGTAATTTGAGGGTAACCCACAGCCTCTTTTCAATATAGTCAGGGAATTTTGGAAAAATGATTGAATGCCCCCATGTAGGGCAGGGATCAGAGATGAGGACCATATGGTCTTTGTCCTCAGGCTGCATTCACTTTAGTGGGGTGGAGATAGGAGAAGCAAACAAATGACTCTAAAATAAGGCAGCATTTGGCAAATGCCATATGAAAATTACAAAGAAAATATCTGGGGAGAGGGTTCAGACAGCAAGATCACACTTAACATGAAATGAAAAATGAAGGCCAGGCATGGTGGCTCATGCCTGTAATCCTAGCACTTTGGGAGGCCAAGGCAGAAGGATTGCTTGAGTCCAGGAGTTTGAGGCAACATATTGAAACCCTGTTTCTACGAAAAAAAAAAAAAAAACTTAGCCAGGCATGGTGGCGCATGCCTATAGTCCCAGCTACTCAGGAGGCTGAGGTGGGAGGATTGCTTGAGCCTGGAAAGTTGAGGCTGCGGTAAGCCATGATCATGCTACTGCATTGTAGCCTGAATGACAGAAGAGATCCTGTCTCAAAAAAACAAAAATGACCCTCACACCTTCTTTTCCCCTCTTTTGTGTGTGAATTGCCTATTGTTTTTTAATAGGAAAACGTCATGTGGCTACTCCAAATAAAACGACCAGGTGACCCATTATTTTTTTATGCCTGTAGATCAGTTTATATATATGAAAAGTATAGAAATTAAGACGGAAGAGGTCAACCACAGTCATATTGCAGCTGGTTTTAACAGTAAGGGAGAGAAGCCTGTACCTAATTCAGTTGACAACGGTAATTCGTTGAAGGCTTTTAAGCAAGGCACAGATAGGATCAGAACTGTGCATTAGGAAAATTAAGCTAGCAGCAGCATGTAGGATGGCTGGAGCAAAGAGAGACAGGAGACAGGCTATTACAGTCATCAAGGGGAGAAGTAACTAGGGCCTGAACAATGTTGGCTAGGAAAGTGAAAAGCAGAAGGATGTCAGACTGGGGGATCTGTAGGCCACTGAAGGCTTTTTAATTGGGGAGTGCACTGGGGGCTTTAGAAAACTCTCGAAAAAGCAAACAGACCAGGTGCAGTGGCTCATCATGTCTGTAATCCCAGCACTTTGGGAAACTGAGCCAGGAGTTTGAGGCTTCAGTGAGCTATGATGATACCACTGCACTCCAGCCTGGGTGATAGAGCAAGACCCTGTCTCTAAAAACAAACACAGAACAAGCAAGCAAAAATTCCTCTTCAGTATTTTAGAGATACCTTCTTCTAACCTAAATTTCTGCCTGAACAGAAAGGGGCTCCAGCTACATGAAAGAGATTAAGTTCATTTTAGTCTTTTGATAAGTAACTATTGAATCCTTTATCAGATCTAGTCCTATCTGTATTTCTTCCTCCCTTGCTGTAGTAAATTTCTTCCATAGAATTCAGAGGCAAAAAGGACTGTGAGCAATTTGAAAAATCAGAATTTATTCTAAACAAATAAAGGGCTATCTATAGTTCAACACATAACATAAATTCCTTATCATATATATATATTTTAAAAATCCTTCCTTGGCCAAGAGTAGTGGCTCACACCTGAAATCCCAGCACTTTGGAAGGCTGAGGCAGAAGGATCACTTGAACCCAGGAGTTTAAGACCAGCCTGAGCAACATGACAAGACTCTGCTGCTAAAAAAAATTTTTTTAATTAGCTGGGCATGGTGGCATATACCTGTAGTCCCAGCTACATGGGAAGCTGAGGTGGGAGGATCGCTGGAGCCCAAGAGGTTGAGGCTGCAGTGAGCCTTGATGGTGCCACAGCACTCCAGCCTGTGTGAGGAGAGAGACCCAGTCTCAGGAAAAAGAAAAAAAAGTTCTTTCTTAATAGTGGCCATTTCTTGAACTTTCATCCCATTTTTCTCTTCTTTTAATGCCAAATTTCTCACAAAATCAGCCTTCATTCATTACCTACTTTGACTTGCCACCTATTCATCCCTCAACCCTTCAAACACGGAGCACATCTATATAGTTACAATAAAATCATACCCTCTAAAGTCCACAGTGTCATCCTCACCACCAGAACTATTAATTTTTTCCATTTTCATCTTCCTTGACCTCTTTCCGGCATTTGGCCCCGTAGAACAACCTCTCCAGCTTGAAATTTTCTTTTCCTTTGGTCGTCTCAACGTATCACACAACGTCTTTTTTCCTTCCACCTCTGGGCTCTCTTCTGTTCTCTTTCCAAGCTATATTCCTATCTACTCTACAAATATAATTGCAACACAAGTGATCATCTTGAGCTGCCTGCTACTTACAACCTTGAAGGAAAACACTTTTTGATTCAATTATTCAATGCTCCACAGAATTCCTAAATCTACTGGATATCTCCTACTGGTATTTCCAAGTGGATGTCTGAAACTCATCATATCTGGAGCAGAGCTTGTCTTTCCACTCAAAAAGTTAAGTCCTCCCTATTCTCAACTTCCCCGCATTCATCAATGATACCACTGTTTTCTCAGTTACTCACGTTGGAAATCTTGAGTCATTCTTGACTGTTCTCTCTCCTTGCATAGTTGGCCAGTTACCAAACTCTTACTAATCCTGCCTTTGCAAATAATCTGAAGTCTCTCTTCCTATCCCTTTTCCACTGCCACTACTTAACTAAGACTCATCATTTCTCTCCTACGCATTTCCAATAGTTTTAAAACTAGTTCTTTTCTTTCGTCTTCCTTTTCCTTTTAATACATTGAAAGTTTCGGGCCGGGCGCGGTGGCTCAAGCCTGTAATCCCAGCACTTTGGGAGGCCGAGGCGGGTGGATCACGAGGTCAAGAGATCGAGACCATCCTGGTCAACATGGTGAAACCCCGTCTCTACTAAAAATACTAAAAATTAGCTGGGCATGGTGGCGCGTGCCTGTAATCCCAGCTACTCAGGAGGCTGAGGCAGGAGAATTGCCTGAACCCAGGAGGCGGAGGTTGAGGTGAGCCGAGATCGCGCCATTGCACTCCAGCCTGGGTAACAAGAGCGAAACTCCGTCTCAAAAAAAAAAAAAAAAAAAAAAAAAAAAAAAAAAAAAGTTTCACTGGGAATATTACTCTTTCAAAAATATTTTGTTGTAGGTATCATTTCCTACTCAAAACTCTTCAGTTAGATTCCTATCACCTATAGGACGAAAGTTACATTTCTTAATTTGGCATTTAATATCCTCCACTATCCATTTTTTACTTCTTTTTATTATTTAAAAAAAAAATTTTTTTTTAATTGAGATGGGGATTTGCTCTGTCACCCAGGCTGGAGTGCAGCAGCATGATCACAGCTCCCTGCAGCCTCAAGCTCTTGGGCTCAAGTGATCCTCCTGCTTCAGCCTATCAAGTAGCTGGGACTACAGGGGTGCACCACCACAACCAGCTAATAGTTGTTTTTATCCTTATCTTACACAAATCCTCTACACAAATTCTCTTCTCCAGCTAATTTTCCAACTGCTCCCAAATATGACATACCCTTAGAGTTGACATTTGCACATTTCGGGGGATACTATTCACAGAGAATATAATGTGAACAGTGTGCCTTGGAGTTATGCAGTGACTGCACTTTATTCCCATGTCCACTTTTGTGTCTTTGTTCTTTTTTTTTTTTTTTTTTTTTTTTTTTTTGAGGAGTTTCACTCTGTTGCCCAGGCTGGAGAGCAGTGGCAGCTGACTGTAACCTCCACCTCCTGGGTTTAACCAATTCTCCTGCCTCAGCCTCCTGAGTAGCTGGGATTACAGGCACCTACCACCAGGCCTGGCTAAATTTCTTTCTTTCTTTCTTTCTTTTAAGTAGAGATGGGGTTTCACTATGTTGGCTAGGCTGGTCTGACCTCAAATGATCTCCCCACCTGAGCCTCCCAAAGTGCTGAGATTACAGGCATGAGCCACCATGCCTGGCTAGTGCCTTTGTTCTTGATCTTCTCCCTGTCGACTACTTGCCCCTTGCCTCTGCTCTAACGCTTCCTTCAAAGCCCAACTCAAGTTCTTTTTTTCTTTTCCTTTTTTTTTTTAAAGATGAGGTTTCACCATGATGGCCAGGCTGGTCTTGAACTCCTGACCTCAGGTGATCCACCCACCTTGGCCTCCCAAAGTGCTAGGATTACAGGCATGAGCCACCATGCCCGGACCCAACTCAAGTTCTACCAGTTTCAAAAACTCACCATCAACTGCCCGATAATCACCCCTTCCTCTGGATTCCTAGATTAGTCATTGGTACATATGTGAGCATATAATTTACCATCCAGATTGTAATGTTTGCTAGTTAGAGGTCACAATTACTCTGAACCCACAGGAATAAACTGGGACTGTCAGGACAAGCAGGGCCATATGGCCAACCTACTTATATATTACCCATTTGGCACTTGGCATGTGTTATCTGGTAGTTTTTATTTGTTTGTTAAATATACGTATGTATTTAAATGCAACTATCTAATCTCCTCAAGATAGGAAATCATCTGAGCATAAATTATGTCTTCTCTCTCTGTGTTCTCCTGGTGCCTGGCCAGCGTCTTACACATAATACAAACTAAAAATGGTTTGTTCCCCCACTGGCTGCTCTGAAAAGCCATCTTTGCATTGTTCCTCGTCCGACTGCTTGCTCTCCGCAGCCGCCTCCGCCGCGCGCCTACTTCGCCATCGCGGACTCCGGCAGCTTAATCGCCAGAGTCCTTGAACTCTCGCTTTTTCTTAAATACCCCGCATCGGATCACCGGCGTGACCCACCATGTCAGACGCAGCGGTAGACACCAGCTCCGAAATCAACACCAAGGACTTGAAGGAGAAGAAGGAAGTTGTGGAAGAGGCGGAAAATGGAAGAGACGCCCCTGCTAACGGGAATGCGAATGAGGAAAATGGGGAGCAGGAGGCTGACAATGAGGTCGATGAAGAAGAGGAAGAAGGTGGGGAGGCAGAGGAGGAGGAGGAAGAAGGTGATGGTGAGGAGGAGGATGGAGACGAAGATGAGGAAGCTGAGTCTGCTACGGGCAAGCGGGCAGCTGAAGATGATGAGGATGATGATGTCGATACCAAGAAGCAGAAGACCGACGAGGATGATTAGACAGCAAAAAAGGAAAAGTTAAACTAAAAAAAAAAAAAAAAAAAAAAAAAAAAGGCCGCCGTGACCTATTCACCCTCCACTTCCCGTCTCAGAATCTAAACGTGGTCACCTTCGAGTAGAGAGGCCGCCCGCCCGCCCACCGCGGGCAGTGCCACCCGCAGATGACACGACGCGCTCTCCACTACCCAACCCAAACCATGAGAATTTGCAACAGGGGAGGAAAAAAAACAAAACTTCCAAGGCCCTGCTTTTTTTCTTAAAAGTACTTTAAAAAGGAAATGTGTGCCGGGCGCGGTGGCTCAAGCCTGTAATCCCAGCACTTTGGGAGGCCGAGGCGGGTGGATCACGAGGTCGAGAGATCGAGACCATTCTGGTCAACATGGTGAAACCCCGTCTCTACTAAAAATACAAAAAATTAGCTGGGCATGGTGGCACGTGCCTGTAATCCCAGCTACTCAGGAGGCTGAGGCAGGAGAATTGCCTGAACCCAGGAGGCGGAGGTTGCGGTGAGCCGAGATCGCGCCATTGCACTCCAGCCTGGGTAACAAGCGCGAAACTCCGTCTCAAAAAAAAAAAAAAAAAAAATGTGTTTGTATTTTTTATTTACATTTTATATTTTTGTACATATTGTTAGGGTCAGCCATTTTTAATGATCTCGGATGACCAAACCAGCCTTTGGAGCGTTCTCTGTCCTACTTCTGACTTTACTTGTGGTGTGACCATGTTCATTATAATCTCAAAGGAGAAAAAAAACCTTGTAAAAAAAAAAAGCGAAAACGACAACAGAAAAACAATCGTATTCCGAGCATTCCAGTACCTTTGTTGTGTATGTACTTAGCTGTACTATAAGTAGTTGGTTTGTATGAGATGGTTAAAAGGCCAAAGATTAAAGGTTTCCTTTTTTTCTTTTTTTGTCTATGAAAAAAAAAAATGGTTTGTTCATCATGATGATATCTTTATTCTGTTATTTAGGAATGAAACATGAGTTAGGAGTAACTTTCAAAGGTGGAAAATTCACTACCCAATTTTCATTCTGGCAAAAACACAAAAACCTCTATGTCCCCAGAAACAGATAGTGACATCAAAAAATTTCCTCAAGATTTTGCTGAGGACTGGGTTGAGGCCTCTGGCACAAGGCTCTGCCCTGTTGCTTAGCTGCTGAACAATGTGTTTCGTCTGTATCTTGACACATCCTTTTAACATTGCTTTGTCACATAGCAGAAAGACGACAGCCCCAACCACAGGACTCACAGAAATCAAATCAAAATAAAATTACACCTAAGAAAATGCTGTGGTGGCTAACTCACCTGAAACCAAGTCTTTGGATGTTTTGACTTGCTTCACTTATTTTGCTTAATTAGCACCTGGCCCCAGTTCAGAATTATCCGTGCTCAACTGCCAGTAACTAAAGGAAGAGAAGGAAGACCTAAAAACAAAACAAAACAAAACAAGACAGTGGTCACGAGAGTGAATGCTCTGAAAATGAACTAGAACGCAGACTGGAAAAAGACGGACATGTGGGTAAAAGATAATTAGGACAGAATCATCTCTCAGGACTAAATACTTCACAGAATAATGCAACAAAAGAGTAGCAGGTCAGAATCACATAGGGGTGTGAGTCCATGTTCAAAAGCCCCAGAAAGGGACACCATTTTGTTCAAACTACTGACGGTTTGTGCCTTTCTAAAATTGCTACCAAATAAATAGGTGACGACCAACAGTATTCATTGATTTGTACATAGGATGACATAAGGATGTTTTCCTTTGACTACAGCTCTAAAATTTGGTTCTCAGAGAGATCTCACCCGTAAATATTTGGTCTAGCATTTTTGTTTGTATCTATGAGAGTCTCCGAGCCCTTCATAGTATCAGTAGTCTTCTTAATACACAGAATAGTCCGTCTAGAGATTCGCTAAATATTCTCGAGTTTGATAACGAGCTTCTTAGAGCCAGGGCAACGCAATGAGACCTCTTCTCTACTAAAAACAACAACAAAAATTAGCCAGGCAAAGTGGTCCTCGCCTGGCTACTCAGGAGGCTGAGGCTGGAGATTCGCTTATACTCGGGAGGCGGAAGTTGTAGCGAGCCAAGATCACGGCCAGTAACAATCCAGGCTGGGCAACAGTGAGAGAACGTCACGCACGCACGCAAGCAAGCACGAACGCAAGCACGCACGCACGCACGCAAGCACGCACGCACGCACGCACGCACGCACGCACGCACTCGAAAGAGCTTATTAGGAAAGACAAAAAGATGGGGCTGGGCGCGGTGGCTCACGCCTGTAATCCCAGCACTTTGGGAGGCCGAGGCGGGTGGATCACGAGGTCAGGAGATGGAGACCATCCTGATCAACATGTTGAAACCTCGTCTCTACTAAAAATACAAAAAATTAGCTGGGCATGGTGGCACATGCCTTTAATCCCAGCTACTCAGGAGGCTGAGGCCGGAGAATTGCCTGAACCCAGGAAGTGGAGGTTGTGGTGAGCCGAGATCGCGCCATTGCACTCCAGCCTGGGTAACAAGAGCAAAAAATTTCCGTCTCAAAAAAAAAAAAAAAAAAAAAAAAAAAGATGGCCGTGTACAGTGGTTCATGCCTGTAATCCTAGCATTTAGGGAGGCCAAGGCGGGTGGGTCACCTGAGGTGAAGAGTTCGACACCAGTCTGGTCAAAATGGTAAAACCTTGTCTCTACTGAAAATACAAAAATTAGCCAGGCATGGTGGCGGACACCTATAATTCAAGCTACTAGAGAGGCTAAGGCAGGAGAATTGCTTGAATCCAGCAGTGCAGAGGTTGCAGTGAGCCAAGATTGCTCCATTTTACTCCAGCCTGGGCAACAGAGCATAACTTCATCTCAAAAAACAAAACAGAACAAAACAAAAAAGATAAAAGATGACTCCTTCTCCTTATGATCTTTTAATACCTGGACCTCTCTAGAATTATTGGATATATTGACTTCTTGGGAGTTCCCAGTTCTTCCTTTCTTTGTTTGTTTGTTTTTAAATAGAGTCTCACTCTGTCGCCAGGCTGAAGTGCAGTGGCGCAATTTCGGCTCACTGCAACCTCCGCCTCCCGGGTTCAAGCAATTATTTTGCCTCAGCCTCTTGAGTAGCTGGGAATACAGGCACGCACCACCACGCCCAGCTAATTTTTGTATTTTTGATAGAGACAGGGTTTCACCTTGTTGCGTAGGATGGTCTCAATCTTTTGGCCTTGTGATCCGCCCGCCTCAGCCTCACGAGGTGCTGGAATTATAGGCATGAGCCACTGTGCCCGGCCACTTTTGGTTCTTTTTTAACTTGAAGTCATCACTTGCCTTCAACGATTAAAGCCAGGAATAGGCGACTTTAATGGTAGATCTGCCACAAAAGTGTATTTTCTGTCTCATTTGTCCTATCATTTCTCTTCCTCTTCCCTTTATCTCTCATTCCCTTCTTTCTACTTGTGATTTTATTTCACCCCTTCCCTCTACTCCCCATCTCTCCTTGAGTATAATTAGAGCGCTTGGTGGTAGGTAGGGCCAAACAGTGTTGATTTAAGCATTGATCTTAGATGCACAGGAAGGTGTTAAGTGACTTCTCAAGACTTTTCCTAGCTCTCGGATTCTCATGGGGTTGCAGTTAGTTAGTTACCATCCCTCGATTACTAGTCACTTATTCTTACATCTGTATTAGGTCAATTGGAATCATCTTCATCATCATAGCTAACATTTATGGAATACTTAATACATATGTCAGACCCTGGGTTATGTGGATTCTCTTCTTTACTTCTCACAGCAACTCTGTGAGGAAGGCACATTCCCATTTTGCAAATGAGGGAGAGGGAGCAGAGAAGTTAGTACCTTTCCCACGTTTCATCATGGCTAGTAAGTGACAGAGCTGGGCTGTGAGTCCACATTTATGTGTCTCCACACCACCACTTTGGTGGAAAATGTGATCCTGGTATATGGTAGGAAGAAGGCTGAGCAATTTAAAATCCGTTACACAGCCTTCACAGATGCTGGGCCGAGGCATAACTTTAAAGCTAACGTCCCCTGACTAAAGGGTCAAAGCTTTATCCTCTTCGTGAAAGGATGTGATGTTACTTAGATCTACGCAACCTCCCCTAGGTACCACCCCTTCCAAACTTGTCTCAGCATTTCTGCACTTTTGCACATATTGTTCCTTGTGTCAGGGGAACACCTTGCCCAACGTTCCCTAAGTCTAAGCTTAAAGAGTCTGTGGATGGATCAACGCTTCTGAAAAAATCTTTGCTGAGACTGTGTCCCCTCCTCTCTCTGACCTCTCCCAGGCTGCCCTTTCTCTGGGCCCCAGGAGCATTCCAAAGAGCAGTTTTTACACTGTATTGTGGTCACTGGTTTTTCTTGTCTTGCACCCTGATTGTGAAAAGTGAGCCTAAGGCAGATACCCCAGCCATTATCTGAGTGAAATTGAATTCCTGAGCTTTAATATTATCATTTTACTTCTTCCAGGTATATTTACATTTTGAGCACCATTCTGAATTTTGAAATGTAACACTCTCTGATATAGACACCTTGCCTGTAAGAGTGACTACCTTCCTTCAGCCCAAGTCAACAAAAACTATTACATATGTATGCATGTATGTATGTATGTATGTATTTAGAGGCAAAGTCTCTGTCATCCAGGCTGCAGTGTAATGGTGCAATCACAGCTCACTGCAATCTCGACCTCCAAGGCTCAAGTGATCTTCCCACCTCAGCCTCCCAAGTAACTGGGATTATAAGCACACACCACCACACCCACTGCCCAGCTAATTTTTGTATTTTTTGTAGAGACAGGGTCTTGCCATGTTGCCCAGGCTGGTCTTGAACTCGCTAGCTCAATCAGTCCTCCTTCCTTGGCCTCCCAAAGTGCTGCGATTACAGGTGTGAGCCATCACACCTGGCTGGATCCAATTATTTATAAAAGAGATACACAAAGTAGTGTATAGAACCAATTGAAGGCCGGGCATAGTGGCTTGCGCCTGTAATCCCAACACTTTTGGAGGCCAAGGCAGGTGGATCACCTGAGGTCAGGGG